CATGTTGAACACACCTTTAGAAATGACACAGAATGAATATCTTCTAGAGCAAATGGATAACACATTTCTATCAAATGGTTGATGTCCTTATCCTTGTTTAAAGTTAATGACTCAGCTTCATCAGATAGCTTTTTGTACCTGAAATCAAATAATTGCATGCCATTGAGAACACACATAAACAAAACATTTATTCAATATTGGTACGCAATTGCACTAACCATTTTGCTGGCTTGATGTTATCRTCTTCAAAGCTTCTGTCTACGTCAATAGCTACCTGGCGGACAGCTTTGATGTCTTGCTCAAAGATAAATGCACCATAAATTGCTTTCATTTTTTGCTGGAAGACTTTTCTCTCTCGACTGAACATGAAACAGTTTCACAATAATGKWAAGAATAAATGAGCAAACAGACACATTCATGGCGGAATGGAAAGTGATTAAATTATGGGACAAATGCATAAATGAAATAATTAGTGAGAGATTGGTGATTGAATGGGCGAACAATGAAACAAATGTGTATGTAAAAGCATGCATAAGTGAATGAATATAGGAAAAGAGAAGGTAATTTTGATAGCTTAATACAATCAATAGCATTTGTCAATGAAAATATACTAACACTCTAGAACGCTCCAGCTTGTCTTTCACAATTTGCGCTTTCCGCAAACGAACTTGTGCGAAGTCCTCACCGATGATGTCTGAGACTGTGTTCACATCCGCTTTTCTATCAAAAAAGTCAAAAAATAACTTGCATTGTGATCGTCAACCTCAAACTTTCAGTTGCATTTTGTCATTTTTACACCCAGAGTTGTCAATCATTTTTATCAGTCATGTAAGCAGCCAATCATGTTGAGTTGAGCAATCATACGAATAGATACTCATGTGATATCTGTCAATCATCATGTATGTCCGATCTCTCAATCATGTAAGTAACCAATCAAGTTGAATCTCTCAGTCATGTAAACAGCAAATCATTTAGAGTTTTTGCGTGCATAAGCTCCTACTTCTCTTTTCAAAAGATTGATAGCTCAAGCAACATAACGTTAGGGCGTTGCGATGCTGATATTAAGATCACCATRGAACAGATTGTAATCACCTTAGTTTTCTGGTTGGCTTTTTCTCTAGATTTCCGTGCTGTGGCCTCGTATCAGATTTTGCCGCATCTAGTACAAAATGAAAAAACCTCGAATAAACCGACCAATTTAATGAATCCTTGATGATCTGGACATAGTGGGGTCTCCGTAATATTGCAGTCTGATCAATATAAAGTAAAAACATTAAATGTGTGCAGCACATTCCACTATTTACTACAAAATAGTGTTAATTAAACAATAGAAAACAATAGAATTAGCATAATTTAGCAGTATTTAGTGGTATTTATGTTACACAGTTTTAGTGTTTGTACTCTAATGCAGCCTCTGTAATCAAGCAGGCCCAGTAGAGTGTCAGTAAGTTCRCTTACTTTTCTCACTAGCTGCTACTTGCTGCCAAGGTATGGCAGTCTCGTGAGGCTGTTGTGCGGTTGGCGAGGCTGTTTGTGGAAGGTAGTGTAGTATTCCGGTTCTCCTGCAGAGAAAAAAAAACTTAATTAATTGCGGCTGGTGTATTTTTGATGAAAACTGCAGGCACTGTTTCGCTGTTTCTAGGCATTACTTCGGGAAAAGAGGATTTGGAGTCTGGTCCTGAATTTCACGTTTCTATATTGTTGGCTTGCCTACGCTTTTCTAAAAATTGGCAACCTGTAGATATTTGATCGCAATCATTATACGAGGCACTGTGGGATAAGTTTTTTAAAAATCACAAAGACTCCTCCTAATCAGTTAACACCATTACGCATGCTTCTTTGACCATTCCTCAAGTTCTCAAATGATAAATTCGTTGCAATGTCCAATCTTTATAGAGAAACGATCTGTTCCAACTAAGAACGATACTGACCTTGCTCTAAAGGCGTGCCGTACATTATGAAGGAAGCTTGACCGTCCTGGTGCGTTTCTTGTTGCAGTTGCTTCGTGTGGAGCTGGGTTTGGTGATTTACCTTCAAGCAGCTCTTCCCATGTCATTTCGACCATTTTAGGCGGGCCTTGAGAGCGGCTGTATGGAAATAATGATACACATGATCATGATATGGATGATGATGATGACTCAATAGCATACTTTCTCAATCAAATCGACCAATCAACCATTTACTCCGACCAAAACGACCGATCGGCTAAGAAAACCAATTCAATCAACGAAACAGAAAGCATTGGTACCATAAATGAATGAAGTTTACCAAAAAAACTTGAAAAATACAAGTACCTTCCAAATCTCCGTTGAAAACCAGGACCTCCAGTAGCATTTTCTCCAGCTTTGAAAATAGATGTGGTTGAATCGTACATATAGCTTGGACGAKAAAACATATGGGGGGACCCCATGGGGAAGTTGTCAGTTTCTTGAATGCGCCCTGTAACGTCAGTAGAAGATCGATGATGTCCTGATCTGGAGTGGGAATGGGGATAAGACTGTCGGACAGTACGAATGAGACGTCCTCGATGATCCAGGTTGATTGCAGTTCGGAGCATTTTAAGGAAGTCCTTGGAGAGAGGGGTCTTGAGGGAAAGGAAAACCCATTTGAATCAATGGTTATTATTTATGGCTATTTAGTCAACCACAGGCAACCAGTTTCCCCGTCTGCGCAGTCCATGTCATAAAACTCGCTACAATCATCATCATTGATCATCAGTCATCATAAGAGATAATACCTTAGTTCTAAGGTCTTTAGTTCGAAGATTGTATACTGAGCACAGAAGCTGATATAAATTAGTTAACTTTTGTGTAAAATCTCTCTTACTTCTTTCTTGTGAGGCTCTATAACAATAATAACARAGACGTCATTAACATGACATTATCTTCCCTCCCCACCCTAGTATATTTATTTTGTACCTGAGGTTCATGATTTCTTCGTGTGAGTTTTGATCAGACAGCAGTGGTGCGTTAGCTGGTCCCTTGGTATCAGATCGTTCTCTTAACTTYGAAACAAAGCGCTTGAGCTGTGACGGTGAAAGACTTCGCTGAGGCTTGCTTTTCTGGAACATCATTTCCATTGTCTGGAAGACCGTGTAAAAAGTAACTGGTTTTGCTGATGTTCAAAACGATAAATCTGAAAGCCCTTCCTTACGTAACGGATATTGCTAACCCTCTGACATTCTACTCTGCGAACATCGCTTCTCGGCGGGTGAGAAAAGTAGCTCTGTTCGCAGAGTACTGACATTTAGAAACGACTCTAGGGCTAGTGAGAGTTATATGGGGGTTACACAACGAAAGATTTGAGGTTTCTTCTCCCACTAAATGGGATGTCTTGCTCATCAGATTGCTAGTTTTCCCCCACCTTAATGTTACGACCCCGCCTTCATCGAAATAAAAAGATATCCGCCTTCCTGATATCGGCTGTAGTTTCCACACTCCATACCTTATGCGCAGCCTCTTCGCGTGCGCATTCAAAATACGGCTTTCCTGCCCGTACAGCGGCAACTCTTCTCTTGTGGTTTTGAAGTTTTTGTCGGATTTCTCCCATTCCTCCATTGATCAATTCAGGCGATTCYTTTGTCTTTCCATCCTATCATGCAGTATTCAGAATTGTGTAACCTTTCAATGTTTATTACTTTAGCTTACTTTGTAACTGATATTCATTGAAAGAGTGGCGTTGATAAGATCCAGAATGACTTATAAACGAATGACTTTAATTTGTGAATGAAGAGATAAATAAATTTATGAAAAAATGAAGTAAGGGATGGATTARCAAATGGATAAACAAAAGGAGAATGAAAATTCGGGTAGAGGGATGAAGG